TGTTTCCGTCGCTGTGATGCATCGACGAGCTTTCGCTAATGCGTTCCGTTGTTTACGCGTGGACATTCGTTTCGGGGGGTGCCGTTTACTCCCCCACCGAGCCCCGTAACTCTGGTCTATTTCATTAGTGAAGAATTGGCGGAATTCGATGGTCGGAATTTAACGCGGAAAGCTGTTTTTTCCCCTCTGCTCGTTCTGTTTGCGGTTTTTCAGGGTTTACCCTGCGCGATTCTTTTGGAAGTTTGCGGCTTAAGGTTTCGGGTTCGATGGGAACGTGTTTCTTTTCGTTCGTTGTTCTGGTTTCTCGGTTGTTATGGTAGTCGAGCATTACTTTTCGTGTCCATCCGTTATTCCACGTTACGAAAATTAATCGTTATCCTTTATACTCTTTCTTTCCTTCATTGTTCCATCATAACGGTTTTATTGAAGTTAATCGTTATTCTTCATCGCATGTTTTCCTATCCATTGTTCTATTGTATCAGTTTCATAGAAATTAACTATTCTCCTTTATACCCCTTTTTTCATTCATCGTTTACATTGTTGTTATCAAAACCGACCTATCAAGGATCAATATTCTCCGCACTCTTTCTCTCACATTCAATGAACCAATCTATTGTTTTCGTCAAAATAAACAATCGTTCTTCACAATATTTTTTCTATTCATCGTTGTATCATATTGCCTTCACGGAGATTAAACGTCATTTTTCGTATTCCTTCTTTTTCAATTCGCCGTTCTATTCCATTGCTTTTAGAGTAACTATCAATCCTCGCCGTTTACTGGTACAACGGTTGTTTTCCACGTTTCACACGAGAAACATAATATAACATTTCATATTTCATTCATCTCGAGCGTCATCCTTTGCGTTCCTTCGACTCTTATTTTCGAACGATGCTACCGTTACGCGAAGGGCTATTCCCTCGCAGTCAAGAGAACCGTGCGTTTTCCCCTCGCTTTTTCATCTTTCGGGTTACGTCCGAGCGGTTACTCATTATCGCTAATTAACGCACCGCGCTGCTGTCCGTGAAATATTTCCCGGAATTACATAATTATCGGGGCTGCAAACTGCAACAGCAGCAGCCCGCTAAAGTTTCCCATTATTTTCTTCATCGCGCGTTAATCCCATCGTTCGCTTTAATTCCCCGCGAAAAATTTCCCTTTCAGAAGGAAGTGTATATTCCGCAAAAGTGAAATTAATATTTAAAAGTCGGCCCACGCCGCTGCTTTCCGTTCAGTTTACATTCGAGGATTTCGTGTAATTTCGCATTTCCCAGCAAATTTTCGTGATTTGAAAATTATCTGATCTCGCTGCTGCCTCGAGTTGACTCTTCTCCCCTCCGTCCTCCGCACGCCTGCCCACTCGTCCGCGTTATTTCTTTAGATCCTCTTTCGATCTCCACGTGATAGTTTCTGCTCGTTCCTCTTCGACCCGCCTTTGTTGCCAGACGTTTGCAATTCAATGATCGCCGGAAGCTTTCACGTTCGCGAATAAATTATTAATAAATTTAATAACGAAATAGCGTCGACCTGGGTCCGGTCAGTGATTTGAAAAACGTGGGCGGAAATTCATGAATGAATGGATGCCGCGATCTTTCCGCGAAGCACGTAATCTTTTAAAGTCATTGATTTGTTCCGGCGTTTATTCGTTCCTCGAGCGACTCGGTACGATTGCGTCGGATGAACAAGTCGGATAAATTAATTTTTGTACTGTTGATAATGGCACGCTCGTGTCCTGATTAATCCTTTGCGGTACGATTTAATCATGGAACATTGTTCTTTAACCCCTTGTCCTACAACAACGTGTTAGACTCGTGGTGAAGATTTTCAAAATGATTCAAGGAATATATATATGTATATATCACTCAGTTCATTCAAATTCAAAATAAATATTATTCCTCTGTAATCAACTATTATACTTAAAAGGACATATAGGCATAATATATGCTTAGAATTTTTCTATTCTTCAGATAAGTTATTAGTGACAAAGTAGCCGTATCGATCAGAGTTGAGAAATAAATCATAGGCCAAGGGGTTAAAGAAGCATTTTATCTTTATTAAAGAAAACAACATGTTTCATTTCATGGTTCATAAATTTTGTTAATTAAAAGTATACTATTAACCGATGTTCACACTAAATCTAGCAAGGTACTACTAACTACTACCTTGTTAATTTATTCTCAATTAGAAACTGTATAAATACTGTGCATGTGAAAACATGTTATCTGTAACCTTACTCGCATGACGAGTTTACCTCGTCATTGTACGATTTGACATGACAACTAATAACGAGCTAGACTAGTAATTTTATCGCAAGGGGATAATTAGCGGTGAACTATTACTATTCGATTCATGAGAATTTTGTTTTCTGTTTGAAGGGTGGGCTTGTAGAAGGTTGGGAGTCAGAAACTTGTTCTTTATGAAATTATAAAATTTCACTTGGTTTTAGTTGGATTGCTACATCGAAGTTATCTGATTAAGATATTTTTAAAATTCATTGTGTTTGTATAAATTATCGTGTACAGTATGTGATTTATTGAATTTTGTATTTGAAAATGCACAATGCAATTGATTATAAAGTACTTATAGAATTGAAAGATGTTGCTGCAGATTATTAAATAAATTAACGAAATTAATGTAAATATTGAACTGGAATTAATGTCACGGTTTCATCGTTTTAATATTAATTTCTCCTAAAGTTGACGTGTATTTTAAATCTGTTCTCATTGTAAGATAAATCGAAATGTTATTACGTTGTTCCTGTGGGACTGTAGCATGTGTAATACGTTATACCCTGCTATGCAAAGCGATTAATTAACTAAAATATTTCTAAACTGTTAACGAATGACAAATTATCTTTGTGAATCCGAAGGGAGATAGTTACCAAACGTTTGAGACAATATAAATGACTCGAATAATGATTTACATATAATAATAATATATAAATTAATAAATGATAATTAATAAATGATTTATAAATAATAATATAAATAATGCAAATGTAAGCTCATGTTAACCAAGAGGGAGCAATTACTTTATTAACATCGAAAAGCTCAATTAAGAGTTTCTGCAATATTGTATATATTATTGACTCGTCATAAATTCAACGAAAATAAAAAAATTAAAAAGAATATTACAATCTTCTTCGAAAAGTAATGTATCCTATTTGCTCACGTTACTTCCAGTTACGTACAGAATTTAAATGCTTCCAGATAAATAATAAATGAATGTCTTCTTTAAGAATTCGGTGATTGAAACGAAATAAATACTTTTTATTATATTTTATTTATCTTGAAACATTGGCGTTTCTATTAAAAAACTATTTTATGTATCTTTATTTAGGTGTTTCAATATGTTAATTTATTTTGAATTGATTTTCTAAGTAATTATGGAGGTAATAATTCTAACGAATTAACTGGTTATTCCGTTCTCTTGGCTTAGCCATGAATATAACAATAGCTTACTCAAAAAGAACACAAAATGAACAGAGAACATTTCTACAAAATTTCTCTGAAGTTATTTTTGAAACGTAAAACCGTACGACAACCTTCGTGGAATAGAAGAAACAGTGACATCCAGCATACAAACCTGGTTCATACAAATGTTTTCTGTTTTCAAATAAATTCTTGAAAAACTTTTAAAAATCACTATGTGAACTGTGTCAAACGTATCTCATAGAAAAAACCGCCCTATTTAAATGCTCCGAATATTCAAACGAACGTAGTTAATGCAAACTTAATGCCGAATTAAAAAATCATTCTGAGGATTGAAATAGAGCCAGAATATCGCTGAAAACTTAATAATACCAAACATCAATAACTAACCGTACCGATTGATTCCGTTACCAATAATCTTCACATGATCTGTTAATGCAATAATAATGTATTTAACAAAACTATCGATAAGCGATTAGATAAAACTGAAATTACAAATTAAATATAAAAACGATCGCTCAGATTCTCATAATATTCTCCTACATACTACCGCCCCTCATTTTCGAAATTTCAACAACGTCCCTTAATTAATCGCTCGCGTGCCGCTAATTATAACCGATCCGCAGCATCATAAGCGCGTTTTTCCATTAATCCCGACGCTCGAAATTAAAGGTCTTAAAATTGTTCACGGCGCCATTGTGACTGCATTTTCATTAAAACAAACACACGGGCGAGAAACGAGAGGCTGGTTTCGATTAACGGAAGCTGGATTTATATTTCTTTTTTCCGCATTCATTTACGCGACACACGGAAACACGGAAATTTCTAATTCTCATCCCGGCGAAGTGCCGCCCTATTTAAAAATCCCTCAATTTTCCGAACCGCTCTCGAAACCGTTCGCATTATCTGTCAT